TTCCCATCAACCGGAGGAGAGGAGTGGTGTTCATGGTTATTTATGCCCCCTCCGAAGACGAACATCCGTGGAGGGATGCAGGCAAAGCCGATGAGTCAGATGCCTTCTATGACCTCGTGCCACAGGTGCTGGCTAAAGTGGCCCCTCAGGATAGAGTCATCTTGTTGGGTGACTTCAATACCCGAGTTGGTCATGATGCTGGCACCTGGTCTGGAGTGATTGGAGGGCATGGGCCAGATCAGCTCAATAACAACGGTAGGAGGCTACTAGATTTTTGTGCAGCCCATGGGCTTGTAATTACCAACACGCTGTTCCGGCATTGGCGCATCCACACAACATCATGGATGCATGCCGGGTCCAAGCAAGAACATCTGCTGGACTACATAGTGACGGACCAGCTGATGTGAGCCCATGTCCTTGACACCAGGACCTACCGTGGAGCTGATCTGCCCTCTGACCATCGACTAGTCATCTGTAAGATGCACCTGCCATTCTTCCACTCCGGTGGTGGGTGTACACCCAGGACCCCATTCCAATCTAAAGTGGCCTGGTCTCAGTTATCCTCCTGATGTCCAGGGTAAATGGGCGAGGTTTAGGACTGTGACTCATGCAGCTGCAATGGCTGCTTTGGATACGTGGTCCAGACCTCCCCAGAGACCCTGGCTGACAGAGGAGGTGTTGAGGTTGGTTGAGAAAAAGCGACAGGCCCACTGTCATCGGCTACAGAATCCCACGTCAGAGAATGAGGAGGCTTACCACAGCCTTCGCTCGGAGGTTCGGAGAGCCGTGAGGCGCTGCAATGATGGGTGGTGGTCGCCGGTTGCTGAGGAGATGGAGTCTGCCTCAGTGGCCCGCGATCACAAATCTCTATTTAACTCCATCAAAAAAGTAACCTGCAGCGCCACACCTATTACCACCATTAGGGGAAAAGACGGTGATCCAATCTCTGACCCCCAGGAACAGGTTTGCAGATTTGCTGAGCATTTCTGTGAGGTCCTGGGGGAGGGGAAATCCATCAGCCAGGAAAACATCGTGGCACAAAGTGGGGATGATCCTGCTGAGGCTGCAGTGCCTCAAATATTGGAAGAAGTCACCCCCTGTGAGTGGCTGGCTGAGTTGCCATCTGTTGAGGAAGTACTGAAGGTGATCCGGAGTCTGAGACCAGGAAAGGCACCGGGTAGAGATGATCTCCCAAGCAAAATGCTGAGGGAGGGTGGCGTTTGTGCACAGACTGCCCTATATGACATCATAACAACAGTCTGGACCACTGGATGGGTTCCGCAGGATTGGCAGAAGGGGGACCGCAAAAACTGTAACAACTACAGGGGCATCTCACTCCTCAGTGTGCCGGGAAAGGTCCTGGTAAGGATTATTCAACATCGCCTTGCCAGGCATGCTGAGGAGAGGCTTGTGGAGCCCCAATGTGGTTTCAGGAAAGTGCGGTCCTGCACAGATGCCATATTTTCTGTCCGTCTGCTACAGCAGAGGTGTAGGGAATTCCAACAAGACCTACATCTCTGCTTTATTGACCTTGTTCTTCGTGCTTTTGGAGTCCCTGACCCTCTGCTCACGATCATTAAGGACCTTCATGATGGTGAGCCAGCCCGGGTAAAACTACGTGGCCGGGAGTCAGAGCCATTACCTGTACACCTTGGGGTGCGACAGGG